GCGATCTGGTTCGTACTGTTCACCGAACCCCTTCAGCTGCACTAAACTATAATATAGATTGAAAGCCTGTCCAATATCTCACATATAGTCGTAGAAAAGTTTATAAACTCTCGTCTCTTTCATCATTGTTGCCATCCTACTTCTATCTTCTCTTGATGGCCATCTACTTCCTGCTGCAATTTTCTTGTTTCCTACGCGCCAAATTGCTGGTTCAATCGGCCATCACACTTTCATCCTCTAACACTTAATATTTTGGTTGGCCTCATCTAATTGTATAACTGCGTTCTTCAGCGCTATTGTATGAGCTTCCAGCTGGAGTCGCAGCTCAGCAATGGTCTGTTATGAATCAATATGACCATCTGACGGTTGCGCAACCGGTATGTTGCATCGCGTATTATTTCGTAAATTTCGTAAAAGTGGTGCGTGTTCATCTTGCATTTGATCCCGCATAAGCGATTCTCGTAGCAGTTGCTCTTGTGTTTTGATGTTTTCCTGTTGTTTCAATACTGCTTGATGGCCTTCATATTCATATCGAGTCATAGGAATAGCACCTGTTGTGAGCTTATACAGTTTGTTTCGTTTGACTAAATACTTCTCGTCGAGGTGCTCTCTGGACACTTTGTGGTCTTTAGTTATTTCTTTCATTGGTGTAGTGTCATTCTTCTTGTAGCGCCTTAATTTAACTAGACGATTCGGCTGCTTCGGTACGCGATGACCTAGATTATCAATCGTGATCAAATCCGAGCAATATTTAGCTGCGCACCTACCCATAGTGATGCGTGTGTGCTTCTTTTATGTTCAGGTGTGTATATAGTGTATATTTAGCGTAGCTGTGCGCTTTTTTGGGTGTTCATACTGATTATTAGCAGCCTGGCGCCAATATGTCTTATCCAGATCTATTTCCAAGCCCTAGTATGGCCCATTATAGTAGCACATACACGGTTCTTTGCTGTAGTATGTATTTAAATTTTCAGGTCTATGTTGTCTTGATTATTTGATTGTGGGGTCGTGAACCATGTTGTCCCCTATTTTTTCATGTTTGTGCTAAAAATATAATTTTT